GGGCGCCCCTTGACCGCAGCTGCCGCACAGAGAAGCGCCAATCGCTCACTCCGCTAACAGCATGTCCTCCACTTCCACTCCATTGTAATTTGCAACTTCAAAATGTTGACCAGCTGCACTCGGGCACTCAAAGTGCTGATGCGCTGATTTAACGTGGAGGCGCCATTCCCCGAACAAAAGCAACCATACCTCATCAAACAAATAGAAGGATTGGATTCTATAGACGAATATTTAGAGACTCTTTCTATTAAATAAAATACTCCTTAAAATTAAACAAATTTAGAGACAAAGCTTTTCAAATGATTTAACTGTTATGAAACCCTATTAAGAACTCAATCTTATATATTTGGGAATTTTAATTTAAGCTACGACCAATTTGTAGGTATTTATGATATGTATAACAGCTTGTTTAGACTTTTTCAAAAGTTTGGCTGGGTTTTAAAATATTTTTAATATTTTTTTAAAGCAGTTAATGTTGTTAGATTTTTTTAAATTTAAAAATCCCCAGCGGCTTTAGGTAACAAATATATTTAATACATTTTGCAACACTCTTCTTTCAGCGCTACAAACTCCTGTTCGAAATTGGACCACCCTCTCTGAGGGAATATAAATGGGCATGCGAAATGAGTCATTACAGATATGGTATGTATATGCAATCAGGCGGGCATCCGCCCCCGCAACCCCGAAAAAAGACACCCCCTTTTCAACCCCCGGGGCAACCACATCGAGTCATTTGTTAACAATCCAGAGCGGTGGCGGTTTTCAGGGCCAGCGCCAAATGCGCGGAAGTGTGTAGTCGGATGTGGTTAAGCATACGCCATGTGGGCCATCAAAATTTTGTTTTTGTCGTCGCTGCGCTCGTTCGCTGGCGCGCTTTTGATTTACACTTTTTTTCAGTTGGATTTTGGTGTTTTTTTGTTTTGCTTTGGTGCGGATTTGGGGATGAATGTAAATGGCGGGGGTCTGGGTTTTATTAAGCAAATGTGCATGAAAATCTATGCACGGATACGCGCGCAATAATGCGAAATTTATGGCTCGCAAACGTGACACTCTGTGCTAAAGCTGCAACTAGACTGCGCGGTGTCCTGCACTTTGACAAAAAAAAGGTATTAATAACTTAAACCAATATTTTAATAGCATATGTAATATTTAAATAAATTGTCTTATTTAATGCTAAATACAAGTGTTTTCTGAAAATAAAAAATACTTTTTATGGCATACAAAGATTTATTTCATATATTTTTTGATTTTTTGAACATTTGTTATTCATATATTTATGTTACCGTGCTCAAGCAAATTATCATTTATTTTAAATTATTTAAAAAATAAACTTGCTGATATGAATTATTTCCTATACATTAACATAAACAAGAAAATTACATGTTTTTTTTTAGTTTCAAGAACTTTCTTAATATTATAAGCCTTTAAAGTTTTTAATTTATACATTTTAGAGTGTACGCCCCCATTCATTTCGGCCACGCCCCCTGCGAGGCGGAAACTGCTCATTTCGCCTCCGGCTGAGGAATGAAGGGTTGAACGTAGATGCCTCTCGCAGTTCGCTCAGCATGCAGTTTTAATTGTTTTGTCGCTAAAATATGTTGGTTGGCTCCCAATGTCTGTGCACTGCAGCTCCCCTCGTCTGCTGCATTTTATGGCATTTAATTTTGTGCAAGCACATATACACAGAATAAAACTTTCGCTTTAATGTTATATCGTAAAATAAACAGGACGAGCATATAGGTTCCAACTCTGGTTTTCCTATCACATATTCCCATTCCATTTGCATGTTTTAGTTGACCGCAGTGAACATTTATTTGTCCCGAATTTTTTCACAAATTTTTGACTGCAGTTTTTCGCCATTTGATGTTGCTTTGAGGATAACTATTTTTTCCAATTGATGGGAAAAACTATCAATAAATGATGGCCATAAATGAAAAATAGGTTTGAGTCAAGAGATGAGTTAGGTTTTTTGACAATAAGTTTGATTTAACATTCAAAAATGTATGAAATTAATAAAAATAACTAACAAAATATTAAGACAACTCGGCTTTTAACAAATAATATTTTTATTTTATGATAAAGTCAGTTTTAATTTTTATTAAATGTAAATGATATATATAATTACAAAATCATAAAAATCAGCAATCAATTAAATTTTTTAACCAATAAAACAAATGAATTTTCTTTTTTTTTTTTAATTGCCTTAGGTTTAAATCATTAAATATTAAAAAATAGGTACAAATATGTCCGTATCTATTTTTTTTTTTAATAAACACTCACTCTTCTTCTGATGTAATTGTAAAACATCAGCTACAGCATTCAAACTCTCAAAGAGCACAGATCCCAATCCGCAATCAAAGTCCCAATAAAATGGTTCCGTCTAAAATCGCAATTCGCTTTAATTTGAGTATGATATCAAACCAAATTGATTTCTTTATCCCGCGCATTCCCGCCGTCTATATAGTCGTTGGCCGCCTTTTACGCCGATTGCTGCCGGCCACGCCCACCACCGCAGCGTGGGCGTTTTTATGGCCCGCTTCTTGTTTTTACTTTACATATATATATTTTTGGTTTTTGCACCACGCTAGTTCCGCTTGGTTTTTTTGGCTTTGGCAGTTGCAATCGAATTGGGTCCCGGGATTTCTATTAGTTCGGTTGGCGCTCGTCTTTTATTTGTGTGGCTTTGGCTTTGGCTTTCATTTGATTTGTATGGGATGTTTGCATATTTCAGCTTTGATTTATTGTTGCGGCGGGCGAGTAAAGTGCCAACTTTGGGAACTTCTGCTAATGGCCGTTGCCATTTCATTCCAGCAACAAGTTTTCCCTCTTTCACGGCTAATGCAATGCAGCTTGCAGCTCTCAGCTACAACTATCGCAAACACTTTGAGTTGGGCCCCTGAATTTTCCCATTTTTCCGCTTTCCCACCGCTTTCCCAGCAGCCCCCTCCCCATGCCATTTCCCAGCAGCTGTGACAGGCGTTGGCAAAACTTTTTAATCTCGTTAGCTTGGACGGCATAATAAAATTAAAGCCCGATGCCAGGGCACTTTTCAGGTGGAAGAACTTTTGTGCAGAAATTTCAATACGCCATTTAAACTGATAATTGTTTCGTATAAATCATTTGGCTTCAGTCCACATAAACATACATACACACAGGAGCAGAAATTACCTTTCGGCCGCGCAGAAAGTTAATTAAAAAACTGTGGCCAGAGTAGCGGGCCAAAGCTTTTGTCCAAGTAGCTCGCCGCTCAGAGGCTCAAATAAACTGCAATTCAATTAGGGTCGAGGCCATAAATAAGGCCGCACAGACACACAGGAGGGCAGAGGGGGGAATTAAGTTGGGGGGTGCCTCCCCCTCCCACTTTCCCACTGAAGGCATATTTAGTTAAATATTATTATAATTTCACTTTTTTTTTTCTTATTGGTCATCGCCTTTTACGGTTGGCAAGCACACGAAACAGATAAAACGATTCTACACACTGGCAAAAAATAAATCGAGGTCAAAATTAGACTTGTATAATCATACAATAAAACTATATGGCACTTAAAATGTATTAGGATCAGATTATGATTAAATGACAAATTCTAAATTGTACATGACAGCCAGACCGATTTTCTTTTCAATTAGAGTTGATTTTTATTTAACAGGCATACAGTTTTTTCCTCAGTATTTTTACCATCCTCCCATATTCTATATTTTTCTACTGCCCCTATTCCCCCTCCATTTTCTCTCCTTTGGCTTTTTTGCGGTTTAATCTTTTATAAATACCAAATGGCGTAAGTTGCCTGCCTTTTAGCCAGAGTGGGTGTGGCCCCTGTGGGTGGAATTGGGATGGAGGGGGTGTGGCCGAGAGGCTGGCCATGTTTTTTTTTGGGTATTTCGCATTTTGAATGCCACGCGTTTTGGGCCGTTTTTGTCTGTTTCAGCTAAAAGAACCCGAGCCGGAAAAGTTTAAGCTTGAAATAAAAAGAACCAAAAATCCCCAAACAACAAAGCAATGATAATTAATGAAAAAAAAAGCCCAACTAGAAGGCACCCTACAATTTGAATATCTAATAAAACATTTTTTGTTAGATTTACTACAATTAAACACGTATGTTCTACAAAATTGTGAACTGTTAAAGTTGTTTGACCTTTAATAACAAATTTTTACTGTTTGCTTAAAATAAGCGAATAATTTTCTAAGCCATACAAAAAATAAATATCTAAGCTGAAATTCGCCAACTATATCTAAACTACATCTCCAAAGGTCTTTGGTTGCGTTCTGCGTAAGACAAGTTAAACACATTCCAGACCTCGATGGGGAAACTGTTGCAAAATATAATAAAGAAGTATACAAATAAGAAAATTTCGCTTTGGCAACTTTGGCTAAAGTAATTATTTTTAATAATTGACTTGGTGTTGGCCTGCATTTTTTTTCGTTGGCCAGCTTGCTGCTGCTGCCCGCTTCCCCCTTGGCCAGGAAAATGTTTGAACTTTGAACTAATTTGGCAAAGTTTTGGCGCACTGTCCGTGTATGCATGAGGCTCCGCCTTCATGGCCGTGACTCTGGCATCTGTTTGGTCAAAAACCTGCTGCCTCTGACCTCCAGACCGAAGTGGGCGTGGCTCAAACTAATTAAATTTATGGGTCTGGCTAATTTTTTATGCACCGACAAAGTCAAAATTTGAATTTAAACTTAAGCAAATGGCAATTAGATAGGATAAGTTTGAAGTGCAGGGGAAAGGAGAGCTTCTAGGCTTTGGAAAATAAAAACCAATTCATTAAAATTATCAAACTTTTTTAAAGAAGTTGGAAAATATTACAAAATTGTATAAAACTCTTCAAAGCTTATTAGTCTTAAATTAAAATTATAAATTACAAACATAAGAAATGTTATTTTTATAAAACCTCGTTTTATGTATTGGTTCCGGAACCACTTTAACCTAACTATCGAACCAGAGAATCAGGGCTGCATAAAATGTGCCAAAGGCTATCGATATTGCCCACAATCGATTAGCGACCCTCTGTGTTACTTGCAGAAAATTCTGGGAAGCTCGGTAATCTTTTAAAAGTTTTTACGAAAAATGGACTTCAATCACAACGTTGATTTGGACACCGCCAAGTTGCCTAACGAAATAAGCGATGGTAAGTTAGCACATGGGCGCAGAGAAAGAAATATTTTAAGAAAGTTCAAATGTCGCACTGCCAGATGACGACGTAGTCATGATGGAGCTGCCTGTGGTCAAGGTCTTCTCTCCATACGATCCCTGGACTAAGGCCCTCCTAAAGAATCCCGTTCGCAACACAATCTGTGGCCACATTTACGATCGCGACGTTGTGCACGGACTCATCAAGAACAACACCGGCATTCGCTGCCCAGTTGCCGGCTGTGCCAATCGAACTTACATCCACCCACCCCACTTGATCGAGGATGCGGAAATCAAGAAGCAAATGCTCCAGCTTATAATCCAGGAGGCTGTGATGGATTCACAAGAGTTGTCTTCCGACAATGAGGACACCAATCTGGAGGACATCACAGACGAAGTTAAGAAGGACGCCGACGGCGACTAAGCAAAAGCATTAGGTATTATTAAAAGGTCTCAACATGGCCTTAACCGCTGATAGAAGGTTTGTTGATTTTGGATAGAAATCCAATATTAACAAAACTTTCATTTAAGTAAATCCAAGATGACATTTGGTTTTAAGGCCATGTTGGTTGACTTACCTGTTCACATGTAACGAGCATGAAAGCAGGCAAAACGTATCTTTAATGGCCGATAACAATTTTAGAAATTTTACTAGACTTTTAAATGCATCACAAATAAAACTTTTGTGCAATGGATCTACTGTCATCTAAGTCTTATTTTATATGTAATTTGGAATTATACTTTGTTATTACAAATACATAGACTGAAATTAAATATCTGGTTTCAAAATTGCTTATAATAGACATATTCATTTGTTAAGCTGTACACACTTTTTAGAAATTTATTTTCGTAAATGTCAATAAGTGCTCATTTACCAATTTTAAATTTACCAATAGTCTTCCTATCTAGAAGGTAGTCACCAAAAATGTTTTTTATTTTAAAATGTCTTCTAATAAGTTTTTAACTGATTTATTTTTTTAATTTGTATTTGATAAATTACAAAAATACAAAGTATAATTAGGCAAAGGCAAAGTTTTTAATTAGAGTTCGTTTTGTAAAGAATCGCTTTATAATTCATTTTATTGTCCAAAAAACTCCGCTTATTCATTTAATGGCGTGGAAAAGAAACCAACAAAAATGATTTAAAAAGGCTGGCAATTTGTACTATATTAAATTAAATAGGTATTACTATAAATATTCAAATGCAAATGACGACAAACAATTGAAAATGAATTGCGTTCGGTTCTAATTAGATAACTTAAACAAATACATGTGAAGCATAATTAATTTGCGTTTTCCAAATATTTCTCTCATTATTTGCTCTCCCACTCTTTATTTTTCCTTGTGTCCAGTTAATATTTAACAAATTATGTACACAAACTGCAAATATTTAGCAATTGAATAACTGAACGCAAAATACTCGATGAAAATATAAATTGCAATTCGATGTTGTAGTGGACGACAATGTGTGGAAAAGAAATTAATTAATTCCAAATTTGTGCATTCAGCAGATGGTGGCTTTTGACCTTTGTGATTCTACAATTGGAGTACAATAATGTAGACCCACGCTACCCACGTTGCGTGGGAAATTCAAAGAACTTCCAAAAGCACTTTTGAAATGCACAAGAAGTCCCATCACCTCCATTGGCATAATTAACACAGAAGCTTCTAAGTCCTTTGGTGCTTTGGTCCTTCGCCATTTACCGTGTTTTGCCCACCCAGGAGTTTGAAATGCACACGCGACCGAAATAAATTAGCGCTTCGACACGAACGAAAGTAAAGGCATTAAACTGATCGCCTTTCATAAGCGCAGGTCCTCAAGGAATTGTAGGTTACATTCTTGGGTGCGTTTTGGGTGTTTTATGTTAAACTTTTTAGTTTTCTTCAAGTTTTTCAACTCCAGCACTGAACATTTTTATTGCTTTAAGAACTGCTTAAAATGCTTCTCTCCTATTGAAAAATAAGTAAAATATAGCTATATTTTTATATGTCCACGACTTTTCATCATTTTCGAAAGACGTTTGTGGTTATTATAAATTTTATTATAATACAGAGTTGTATGCTTACTTTACAAACGTATTTATTTATATATTATATTCCTTTTGTATGTTTTCATATCTACCTGATTTATATGTATAAGACCACCCTATCATATTTATTTTGAACATGTTTAAAGCTCTCTTACGCTTAGAATTTCAAATGATTTTTCTCCCACGATTTCTGAGTACATCTAAAAACAATATGGCTTGAGAAGAGGATGGAGTGAAATTCCTAACCCAGACAAACGGCTAAGGCATTTCCCCCACGCTTTTTCCGACCTTTTTCCACTTCCAATTGAGATTTTCCTATTTCATATGCTGGCGTCATATGCTTTTCTTGCGTTTTAGTGTAATTTCCGCAATCATTTCCGACAACATTTTATGCCGCTTCGCTTATTGATATTCCCTGAATCACAGTCACTTTCACTGAATGTTTCGGTTATTCAATCATTGAGTCATTCAGTAAATTTAACCTTGACATTTATGATATTTTTGCTCAAGAGGGATTTTTATTTTCCCAGTTTTGATACACCAAACAAAAAGTAAAAAGTCGGGAAATGAGTTACAGTATGGGTTAAACTATAAAATGCGAGTGCCCCAATTAACAATCATTAAAAATTAAACCAAAAATCGCACATCCCATTGCCTAAGACTTTAAGTTTTGCCTTGACCAAACCAACAGCTTTTCATCACAAAAATTGTATGATTTAATTTGGTTTGAGATTTTATTTTATTTTACCATATTTTGCCGTCTTTCTCCGGCTTTCTCTTATTGTCAGTTTGGGTTTGCTCGGTCAAATGGTTTGTTGCATTAAATTTATAGCGCACAATAAACTTTTGCGGTTGCTGGCAAGATTTCAACGCGCCAAATGCCGCAGGGCAATTACAATGGTGGTGGGGAAAGGGGGGTAGCCAAAAATATACATGCAAAAATATGCTGGGAATAAAGAGGGGGGGAAATGGAGAAAGCGGGAAAAATACGTTATAGAAGCCATACAGCAGTAGTGCATTTTAAGCATATGTACACCTTTCACTCACTCCCTGCTGCATCACTCACATGAGCTGCATGAATAATATCCTAAAGGCATTAATTTTCAAATTGAATATTTTTGGCCATTTTCGCCGGCGGTGTACAACTGTAAGCAAGAGTAAATACTTCCAGGATGCATGGGCCAACAGGCCCCCAAAAATCCTGGGGCCATATTGGGGTAACAGACCGTAAAGAGCGAAATATGTGTAATATGATTAAATTTTATCAACAAGCGCAACTGCCAGCGCCAGAAAGCAACAAAAGCAAAGCTTTTAATAAAGGGGACTGGGGGAAAATCTGAGGGGGTTGGAGTGGAGGCGAAAGAATGCCCCAAAAAAGAAAAACCAATGGAAAACATATGCAGAAAACAGAAACAGAAAATACAACAACGTTTCAAGCACGTTCCAGCCAGCTTCGTCATCTATAAATCTATGGATCCTGGTCGTAAGTACCGACATTTGCATATCCCCTGAAACAACTTAGGGTATGTTGGTACAAAATGATTTAGGTAAAAATATATTTCGAGTAATTTGTTTATAAATAATTGCTAAGCTATAAAACGTAAACTAGCAAAAAATCTATAACAGTTTTAAATTGCTTACCTAGTATAGATAGGGTAGCATTATGGCTATATTTATGTTAAATACTAGCATATCGATGGCATATCACAGGGTAAATCGCAAAATAATCTTTACTGAAATTCCAGACTGACTCTCTGACAGCGCACCCTCTGTTTGTTCTGTATGTGTTTATGACTTTGGATGGCAATGTGTTATTTATGGCTCATTTATGATTTGTACGCGTGATATTTGTGAGATATTGTAAAATAGGAAGCAGATCAACCGTTTTCGAAGGGAACGAGGCGACATTTGGTTGCGAGCCTTTGGCATTTTGATTGCAGATGTGTGTAATGGAAACTGGGGCAAAGTACGGCTATGAGACTTCCATTCTCCATTTATGGTTTTGCCATCGAACTCGATTACAGAACTGCCATTCTTATGACAATTTCTGCCTTAATCCAATAACAAACTTCGCCAACTGCCACTCACTGCTGTTTTCCACTCATTACTGTCCAAGCTGCGTTGTCGTGTTACTACAATGCAATTGGCTTGCAAAACTGGTGAGCACTTAAAAAAATATTATAATAAATATTTTTAAAATATTAAAAACCCCAGGCTTAAAATGTATCTAAAAATATTCTGAGCTTTAGGTTTCAATAAATTAGACTTTAGTCCGAAGCTTTTGTAAGAGCAAAATCAAATAGTTCACTTGCATTTAATATAAAAATGTAATGGGTGAAAACCATGTTCTATCAATTATGATATATATATATATATATATACATATATATAAATTTATTAATTAAAACTAATGGGAACTCATTTCGGATCGGTTTTCGCCGAGTGTACATTACGCATACGCCGCGGGTGTCGCCATGTGCCATTGGCAATTGACAACTGTTGCTGCCGCAAGTGGTGGCAACTGTTGCGGTGTCGCTGTCTGATTGAATTTTGATTGCTGCACTGGATTTTTGCATAAGTTGCTGCAGTAACTTGCCACACCACCCGCTCTATGCCGTTCATCATGTGCATCTCGACTTGTTGATAAATCTAATCAGTGTCGCGGCCACACTAATCCGCCACGCCCACGTTTAAGGTTAACGTTAAGTAAAAGTTTCCGCAAACTTCTCGGCGAGTGTGAAAGCGGAAAAAAGTTTTTACTTAATTTTTTATATTATTTTCGCTTGGTTTTCCCACTCTCCCTGTCTATCTGGCTTCTTGCAACACTGCACGTAGTAACTTTTTATTATTGTATTAGCAAAAGTTTTTTTTTTTCCTTTCGCAACCCCTCGGCATCTTTGACTTGGCTACAGCTGCGCCTCAAGCCGCGGCAATCGATAGTTGTCTGCGCGCACAACTGTACACACTTGTACCCATGGGTAGTTGAGACCTCGGAAAATACCAACTCCTCCGCCAAGTTCGCTGAGATGTTGTGCTATTGCGCCCGATGGTTTAGATTTAATTTGGCAAACAGCAAAAGGGACGGGGCAACATTTTGACAAAGTGCCCATCGTCGATGTCGTCGTTTGAGACTTAGCCACTGCATAGTGGTTTCTTCTTACTTATTCTAACTTTTTCGAACTTTTGTTCAATATACGGTCATTATATTGTATCTTTATTATGTTATAATTATTAACAAAAAGACAATGGACTTCTTGCATGAAAAAAATAACTAACCAGTTACTTGTTTTCTACTTATGTGAGATAGAATATTTCAGATTTCTAATATATTGTTTTTTTGGAAGTCATTTAAAAAATTTATTAAGTATCATCGTAATTTCATCGTTTTGAGATTTGATATTAAACAAAGACCCAAAATCTAACTGAGAAGTAAACCCTTCAGCTGGCTCCTTCAACAGCCACTCAAGGTCACTGCTTTAAGTTCTTCAGCGAGCGACTGAGCTCGAGCTTGTAACCACTGTCGCATTCGTGGCAAAGGCAACTCTGTTGCAGTCTCTGTGGCCCCGTGCAAGTGCACTTATGTGTGGAGTTGAAGGCAGCAGCGCCAAAAAAAGGGCGGTGGATGGGTGAAAGGGGGCGTGGAGCCACTTGACAGCCACAAAGGC